TATTGGTGACATGATTTGTAATATTTCATTTCATGACAAGTGAGTAAAAGCTAAGGCTTATGTGTTAAAGAATACTACAAACTTATTTGATACCAATTGGATGGAATTGTTTGAGTTATGAGATTTACCTATAAAAATTTATTGCAAAAATGTAAATGGATAAGCTACCAGTTAAAAAAAAAAAGAAAAGCAGTGTGAAAATTTAAAGGAAGAATTGAAAAAAATGTTTTCCAGAAGTTCTGTTGGATGCGTTGGATCAGTGTTCCAAAGTCAAAGCAAAATTTCAAGTGAAAAAAAAGGGATTGATGCCAATGTTTAAACTGAAACATAGTGTACCATTCACAGCATTGGATCAAGTCAATGAAAAAATAGACAGACTTGAAAAAACACGTGTAATTAAAAAGATTGACCATTCAAAATGGGTATCACCAGCAGTGTATGTAAAGAAAAAAAATAATAAAATTTGTATTTGTACTGATTTTTCAACAGAGTTAAACAAATGTTTAGAATCCCATAGCTATCTATTACCAAATTCAGGGTAATTTTTTGCAAATTTAAATGGTGGAAAATTTTTTTCAGAGCTGGATCTTTCTGAAGCATATTTGCAAATTCAGGTTGAAGAAGAATGTTCAGAGTTGATGACTATAAATATGCACAAGGGATTGTATAAGTTCAGTTGACTTCCTTTTGGCATAAAAGTGGCTCCAACTATATTTAAACAAGCTATGGATACTGTGCTTGCAGATTGTGATTTTGCAGTTGCTTATCTGGATGATATATTAGTTAAAAGTGTATCTAAGGAACAACATATTAGGCATGTGAAAAGAGTTTTTGAAAAAACATGAGAGTACAGGTACAAACTCAGTAAGGAAAAGTGCAAATTATTTTTGCCTAAAATCAAGTACCTAGGACAAATCATTGACAAAAATGGTTGTCAACCAGATCCATTGAGGGCAGGTTCAATTAAGAATATGCCTCCTCCAACAAACATTACTAGTTTACAAGCATTTCTGGGACTAGCAAACTATTATCAAATCTATATACCTAATATGCTGAATTTGAGAGCTCCCCTGAACAATTTGCTTAAAAACGGCATAAAATGAAACTGGACTGATAAGTGTTAGAAGGCATTTGAAGAAATCAATAAAATGCTAATGTCAGACTTATCATTAGCACACTATGATCCAAAAGCAAAAATCATAGTGGCTGCAGATGCTAGAATTAGGAGCAGTAATTCTACATAAATATGATGACGATGGCATGAAAGCCATAACACATGCTTTATGTTTGCTGCTACTGGAAGATTGAAATAGTGGCATTAGAAATAATATTTGCAGTGAAATAATTTCACAAATTTATACACTGAAGGAGTTTTCATTGACAGATGGTCCACAGACCTCTATTATCAATTTATATTTTTAAAAAAGGAATTCTTACATATACAGCAAATAGATTACAATAGAGTTTAATAGTAAAGCAAAAACCATCATATTTCCTGCAACTGGACAGTTTCCTTACAGATGAAATGAAAATGAGGTAACAGATGTGGCTGTTTTTTATTTAAATTTTTTGAAGCATTAGAATTGATGTCAACTGGACTTAAAACCAAGAAGTCTTACTAAAGAATATGTGCCTCCTGGGAGGAATTGAACCTGTATTGCATTTTTCATTCAGGTAAACCCCCTTCCTATAATAGAAGTGTGCCCTTACCAATTAGGTGATAGGAAGACATCATGATAAGACAAGGCTCAATTAACTACATAAAGAATGCATGCCTCTCAGTGGAACCTCTATCTTGAGAGGCTTTTGAGCTTTGAACAAGATGAACAATATTGTAAAAAAAATTGAATCAATTGCTAGGTCTGCTGCTAGGAAAGATTAGTTCACTGTGTCATGCTAGACAATTTTTCTGGGCAGAATCTATCTTACATGTTTATAGGTCTACCATTTGTCCATGCTTTGAATATTGCTGCCACATCTGGTCTGGTGCTTCTGCTATATATTTTGAGATTCTTGATGAAATCCAAAGAGGAATCTGTAATGTTTCTCTCCAGAATCTATCTTACATATTTATAAGTCTACCATTCGTTCATGCTTTGAATATTGCTGCCACATATGACCTGCTACTCCTGCTATATATTTAGAGATTCTTGATAATTATATATTTATTATTTTGTTGTAAATTCTTAATAACAAAGAAAATATATAAATTCACTTTCATATGTTTAGGCTTTATTACAATTCTAATCAATGCTTTTTAAAAACAATAAACATTGCTGAGGAGTGAAGGTAGTTAAAATAATAGTGGTGTCAAGGGAAAAACCATCCTTTTGTCACTCTGTCTTATTGTGAGAATGTTTGTCAACATTTGCCACTTCCTCTTTGCTCTCAAATTATATCTATCATATTCTCAGTATCCTTCTGTAGAACTATATTTCTGCTGGTTCATGCCTCCATCTGTAAGAGAATTGTCCAATAGTCACTGCCATACAGGAGAATTCATATCAGATCGAGTTCAGTACTTCTTCCTTTCTTTTTAAAAGATTTTCCTGTTTCTTCATACTTTAGTTTCTGAAAGGCATCTTTTACCATGACCACATGCCTTCTGATTTCTGGATAACATTTTCTGTCATCTATTAAAACACTTCCTGGATAGTGAAATTTCTATACTTATTTCTATACTATTAAATCTTCAATTTGTAACTCTCATGTTCAGATGTCCTTCTTGTTAACAAACATATATTTTATTTTCCTATAATTGAAGGTTAGTCCTTTCTTCTTGCTTTCCTTTATTATTTTTAATATAAACCACTCTTACTTTATAAGTGCCAGTTAAAAATGTGAAACGTTTATTTGTTTTTTCTTTCTGCTTACAGATGGTAGCCTTTTAAGTCTTGTAGAAGTTTGGTCCTTGGTTCCTGGACATTACAAAGACAGACTGGAAAATGAACGTTGGAGTTTCATTACTCAGCAGGTATTTATTTTATGTCTTTGGTAATAACTGGTGATTACTGAAGAAATCTGAAAACCTCTCTGACACTATGTCGGTATTGATACCCAGCCACCCTTGATTGATTAGGCAGGGTAGAAGGGAAAATTTTAATTTCTATTTCACTCAGTAAACATATATATATATATATATATATATTTTAAAATATACTGAAAAACAAACAAAAAATCCTAATATGCGATTATGCTGTTTTAATGTTTAATGTCAACATCGGACGTTTTGGTCTAATAGACCATCTTCAGGACATATTCATAAAACATAATTAACATTCAACAGACAATACAATTCAACAGGAAAAGAAGACGATGGACATAAAAGCAATAAACAGACAACTGAAATCTTTTATACAAGTCAGACTCAACAAATACAATTTTAAATGTTGGGGAGGTCGCTATATTTGGCTGCTGAAACTCTTAATCTGGTAACATACTCTGCACAATACCACAAGATTGTACATGGTAGCTGTCAGACAATTTTTGCAAAACATCCCCTTACATCTGGCCATCTAATTCTCTAGACTGCAACATGGATTATAATGGTTAGGGGTTTTGTTTGTTTTTCAACAAAACTCCTTCTAACACCAAAGATGAACTGAATCCATATATTTGCAACATATATATATATATATATATATATATATATATATATATATAGATTCAGAAAGATTTTAATTCCTATTTCACTCGGTAAACATATACTTATATATATATATATATAGTAAAAAGATTTTTAATTCCTATTTCACTAAATAAATATATATATATAGTACAGAAAGATTGTCCAGGTACTGGGTGCGATGGGTCATCATTTTATGTTTTTAATTTGGCACATGTATGTTCTTTGATTTTGATTTTGTCAACTGTATTCCATAGTAGGGTTAGTTAGGCACCATCCGTGAGAAAAAGACCACCATCATGCAATTCACTGCATGAGTGTGATGAAATTTGGAAATTAATTATGCTGTAAATGTACTTGGCATTCAACATGTCTTCTACAAAACTCCCATACAAACATTTCAGGAGTGTTTTACTTTTAATCTGAGGACAGTGTATCATGGAAAGAAAGCTGGATGATATATCCAGTCAACGTCATTTGTTTGAAAAAAACATCACTAATGATGGTGAATTTGTGGATTCCACTTCCTGCAGAAGAAATGCCATACTGTCAAGAGGAGGTCTACATTAAATGTGTTGGGATGAGTACTGAGGAAAAGATAAGAAAACATGCTGGAAACTCTATATTTGGAACAGGACTCTGCAAACCAAATGGATAAAAGTCGTAGAATGAGACAATTCTGCAACCAATCAAAGAATGAATGAATAAAAGAATAGACTGCAAAAAAGATTAAAATGTGAAAGACCAAAAGAATGAAAGAAGAAACAAAACTCCTTCTAACACCAAAGATGAACTGAAAGAATAAAAGGCAGAGAAGAAAAAGAATAAAAAAGAGGAAATGGCCAGAAAAGTTGCAGGAGATTCTGAAGTCATCTGGAGGCCATAGTTGAAGAACGATGGCGATTTTATTGAATAAATTTACTCTTTAGTATTTCAAGATATTTTTGTGTAATTTGGTAAATATATCTGTTAAAATGAGATGTCAGTGTTATTTGCGTAATTTAGATGACAATTTATTCATTGCATCCTGTATATGTAGCTGTACTAGTCCAATGAAAGAAAAACCGAAGAAACATTTATGTGCTTTGCAGTAATATGTGTGTGCATGAGTGTGATGTCCACATAGTTTCAAATTAATTAGTCAGATTGACTAAATCTACCCTGAATGGAAAACCGAACATGTCTTCTACAAACTACATCATGGAACAAAAAAGAGAGGGAATCCTTTACTTTTATACCCCCCCCCACTAGCAGGCATCATGGCACAGAAAGTTGGAGTAATCCCGACAAGTTATTTCATGCAAAAAACATCACAAATTTGTGGAGAGCCACTGGAAGAAGAAGAAATGCCATACTGTCAAGAGAAACAATGACATTATGAGATGGGCAAATGAGTACAGAGGAAAAAGATAAGAAAACATGAAGGAAAGACATTGTTTTGGAACAAGAATAAAAGAAATGAATAAAATAAAAGAATGAGGAATAAAAGAATGAAAGAAATGCATGAATAAAAGAATGAAAGAAGAAAAAGAAAGGTTAAAAGAAAAAAGAATGAAAGAATGAAAGTAAAAAAGAAAAGGATAAAAGAATAAAAGAATGAAAAGAAAAAGTAAAGGTTAAAAGAATAAAAGAATAAGAAAAGAATGAAAGAATAAAAGAAAGAAAAGAATGAAAGAATAAAAGAAAGAAAAGAATGAAATAAAAGAATAAAAGAATGAATGAATAAAAGAATAAAAGAATGAATAAAATAAAAGAATAAAAGAATGAATGAATAAAAGAATAGAAAAAGAAAAAAAGAATGAAAATTTGAAAGACCAAAAGAATAAAAGAATGAAAGAAGAAAAAGAAAAGAATGAAATAAAAAATATAAGAATGAACAAATAAAAGAGAGGAAGAAGAAAAAAGAATAAAAGAATGAATGAATAAAAGAATAAAAGGATAAAAAGAGAAACTGATGCTATTTAAATTGACTTGTCTGCCTGTTAAAATTAGGATAAAAATTTTAATTTTTTTAACAATTTAAAAAAAAAAACTTAGAATTCATTAGCCCTTTCTCAAGCCACAATCATTGATTTTTTTAATCAGTTTAGAAAAGGGGTTCCTACTATAAATACAATGTCAAATTGTTCCCTGAATTCTTAAAGAGTTATCTGTACTTTGTTCTTAATTACATTTTTTGAAACCGTATTTATGTCATTGCTAACCTTGTCTTACTGATGTCTTTTTCTCAATGCTTAATAGTACAATGTTATCAATGACATAGACACCGCTTTAAAGTTGACATATTTTTTAGTAAGGTTCACCCAATACAAAGCCCAAGAGCCACTCAAAGTAGAGTGTTACTGTGTGGCCTTATATTAGCATCAGAAAGTGCAAGTGTCAGGAGTATAGAGCTGAAGTAGACTTTAGAGGGAAACAGAAACTCTGTCTTAAAAAAGAAAAAAAGAGATAAGTCTCTGCTTCTGTTCAAACGACTGGGAAGGAGTCTGAACGAAAAATGACTTTTAGTTGTGAATAAAAGCAAAGTACAAAAAAACTTAGGATAGTTTGAACAATTCAGGGATCAATTTGGACATGGTATAATGAAAAGGATCAATATTTTTTGATTCTAAGAAATTTTATGGCTTGAGTTTAATGAGTGCTTTTTTTTTTTTCAATCATTTCACCCCAAGGAAGGTGATAAAGCTACTAAGCTGCAAGGGGAAGAAATTAACTAGTCAGATTGCCAGTTGACTATATCTCCCCCAAAATGGAAAAACCAGATATGTTGTCTACAAATCACATCCCGGAGCAAAAGAGAGAGAGAGAATTCTTTTCTTTTAAAGAGTCTGAGAAAAGAAGAGACAAGTTTAGTAAGAAGAAAGGACAATAAAAGAACAAGTTTCAGGAAGATAGAAAATTGCGATTGACATTGCATTTAATTTTTGAAGATTTTAGGTGGCATGGCCGCAAGAAATTTGAAGAGATTTCCACATGCAAGAAGTGTGAGAAAAGAACCTTAGAACAGAAATTACAATTACATCTATCTAATTCAACAGTAACATGATGAGACCTAGTTGCCAATCTAGTCTTTTTCTATGTGCCATGTCCTTCCAACATTGGTGAATCATAATGGAAATTTGAAGATGAGGACAATTGTTTGCATGTCAATAATGATGTAATCATCTGAGAAATTCAGACATAAATTAGGGATTGATATTTAAGTTGAGTCAATACTGCTCATATAAATATGTGTTTCAATGTCCCTTCAGGACATGAGTTTCATGAAGAATTCCCTGTCCTTTTAAAGCTATTTTGGTCTCATCCCTGTCCCCTGTCCCACCATAGATTTTGAATCTCTCTAAGCAGGTTAGATTTTTCTGTCCCTCTGCCTTCAATCTGTCCTGTGAATATCAGATTTTCCAAGCCTTCTTTCCTCATTATGTGCCCTAGTACATAAATTCATGCTGTTGAGGTACCAAGGAGTGTGTATCTACAAAAATTACTCCCACACAAAAATCTCCCTATTTTTATGAGCCGACCAGTCAATTTAATTAATGCCAAGAAGTTTTTATTGTGGACAGTTGAAATAAAGCCTCAGACTACTCTGTCGTCAGCTGCCCAGATTCTAATCCATGACCCAGGGCAACTTAGTCTAATTCTCTTTAATCCCAGTTTAAACATTTATTTCAGGAAGTAATAAAGTAGAGGAACTGGATTTGAGTAGCAAGCACTTGAACCCTCAATTAACCCTGACCTCATAACCTTGCTTTACACAGTCAAAATAGAAAAGTTTTACCCAGAGACTCCAGATCAGAAACGAGGAGGAGTGTCTTTAAAATTAGTCCCATTAAAAAATATTATGTTAGTCTATAAATACAACCTCAAGCAAAAATTATAGAATTAGCACACTTAGATAATGTTCATTTTATTTTCTTTTTTATTTCGCAGAAAATAAACTGTCTATATTTCTGACATGAGGTAAATGTTATGAACTTAATTACATTATTCAGACTATTGTCCTCATTTTCTCACCATATTTTAAAATTAAAAAATTTTCAATTGAAATTCAATGTTTTCTTCAGTTGGTTGTGTGGAATGTTGAACTGAACCCTTTATTTCGCTCACTGGGAGTTTATCCACTGGTTCCAATGTTTTAATGGATGTCACAATTATCTTTTAACAGATCACATGGAACTGCAAAAGAAAGGCACGAATGAATAAAAACCAGTTAGACATGACCCAAACAGTGTGAGTTCAATACCTGGTTAAGGCAGTGGAGAACTTTCCAGAGGGAAAATTAATGGAATAACTGACATCTATTAAACATGGCATCAACTAGAACAGTCTACAGTGAGTGAAATAAATGTACAGTTCAACAAAACCTGAAACAGGGTCTGTCAAACAAATTTTTTTTTAATGCCTTGAAAATAAACTAATAACAGATAAGATATAAAAACATTTTTATTTAATAGTTGAACATTCTGGCTTCATAAAATTTACCTTAAATAAATGAGATTAAATTATTTAAATTAATGGTATAATTTTTTAACAATTTTTAAATTTATGTAGAAGCTATGCAAGAATGTTAGCCAAAAAAAGTTTGTGACTGGTTAGGCCCATGGGAGAGAAAATCTGATGTCATGCAGGCCTGAAAGCTTCAATGATCCCGGAATAGATATCTCCGAGAAAGTATTCTAGTGTACAATATCTGCGTATAAAATGAATCTAGTCTGGCACATGGTCTAAAGAAAACAAATGGAGAAAACCTGAAAGAGAAAAGAGAGTTGACAGAGAAAGGAAAAAAGCATAGGCGACTGATGGGAGAGAAAGAATGGAGAGGGAAGGAGAGACAGAGGGAGAGGGGAGACAAAGGGGAAGGAAATACAGAGTAAGTGAAAGAGGGAGAGGGTGAGGAAAGATAGAGTGAGAGAGGAGACGAAGGAGAGGAGAGACAGAGGGGAGAGAGACTTAGAAGACAGAGGGAGAGGGAGAGACAAAGGGAGAGGGGAGACAGAGGTAGAGGGGAGAGAGATAGAGATGACAAAGCGGATGAGAGAGAAAGGAGAGACAAGGGGAGAGAGAAAGAAAAAGGAGAGAGAAAGAAAGAAAAAAGAGAAACAACCCAGAAGGAAATGGAAAAAAGAGAAATAGTGAAAGAAGGAGACAATGAGGGAAACAAAGGAGAGAGTGAGAAGTGAATAACAATCAATTTTTTTTCTTGGAAATTGTTGAAAATAAAATGCATATTCCCCTTTAAAAAAAAAATATTCTAAAAGATATTTGCTTATATATAATAAGAAATTGTTAAGACTAGAGACCTCAATTGTCTTTCCTGAGTTTGATTCAAAATTTATTTCTTAAATATTAATTACTTTTTTTTTCATTTTACATTTCGTGGGAAAATTAAGGACAATCGGGAGTCAAATGCCTAGTCTGAAAATAAAAAGCAGATTTTTACAAAAGATGGTACCAACAAAGAATTAACAAATTTTCATTTTACAATGTTTGTTGAAAGTTGTGAGAGTTAGAAATATAAAAGGCAATGATCATAAAACTCATTCAAGAATATTGTTCCAAAGTGAATGAAAGACATTAGTAAATGTCAATAAATGCAAATATAAAAGAAAATAAATGTACAACCCAACAAATGGAATTGATTGTGGTTGATCAAAAAAGTTTGATTCATTTAAAACTCAAAGCCCTTAAAAATAAAGCAAATGGGTCAAAATGGATTTTTTCATGTTTGGACTGCAATGAATAGGACTGAATGGGGATTTATGGAGCAATATGCCTTGAAAATAAATGTACAACCCAACAAATGGAAAACAGAGTCAATGTTTGTGACAGAAGTGCAATGAATAGGGACTGAATGAAATGGATTTATGGAGCAATATGCCTTGAAAATAAATGTACAACCAACAAATGGATTGGAAACAGGAGTCAATGTTTGGTGACAGAACTGCAATGAATAGGACTGAATGAAATGGGATTTATGGAGCAATATGCCTTGAAAATAAATGTACAACCCAACAAATGGATTGAAACAGGAGTCAATGTTTGTGACAGAAGTGCAATGAATAGGACAATGAAATGGGATTTATGGAAATATGCCTTGAAATAAATGTACAACCCAACAAATGATTGAAACAGGAGTCAATTTGTGACAGAAGAATGAATAGGAAATGAAATGGGATTTATGGACAATATGCCTTGAAAATAAATGTACAAAACAAATGGATTGAAACAGGAGTCAATGTTTGTGACAGAAGTGCAATGAATAGGACTGAATGAAATGGGATTTATGGAGCAATATGCCTTGAAAATAAATGTACAACCCAACAAATGGATTGAAACAGGAGTCAATGTTTGTGACAGAAGTGCAATGAATAGGACTGAATGAAATGGGATTTATAGAGCAATATGCCTTGAAAATAAATGTACAACCCAACAAATGGATTGAAACAGGAGTGACAGAACTGCAATGAATAGGACTGAATGAAATGGGATTTATGGAGCAATATGCCTTGAAAATAAATGTACAAACCCAACAAATGGATTGAAACAGGAGTCAATGTTTGTGACAGAACTGCAATGAATAGGACTGAATGAAATGGGATTATGGAGCAATATGAATAAATGTACAACCCAACAAATGGAAATGGGAATGTTTTGTGACAGAACTGGAATAGGACTGAATGAAATGGGATTTATGGAAAAAATAAATGTACAACCCAACAAATGGATTGAAACAGGAGTCAATGTTTGTGACAGAACTGCAATGAATAGGACTGAATGAAATGGGATTTATGGAGCAATATGCCTTGAAAATAAATGTACAACCCAACAAATGGATTGAAACAGGAGTCAATGTTTGTGACAGAACTGCAATGAATAGGACTGAAATGAAATTTGTACAACCCAACAAATGGATTGAAACAGGAGTCAATATGCCTGTGAAAATAATGAATGTAATGAAATGGGATTTATGGAGCAACCCAAAATAAAATGGAAATGGATTGAAACAGGAGTCAATGTTTGTGACAGAACTGCAATGAATAGGGACTGAATGAAATGGGATTTATGAGAATATGCCTTGAAAATAAATGTACAACCAACAAATGGATTGAAACAGGAGTCAATGTTTGTGACAGAACTGCAATGAATAGGACTGAATGAAATGGGATTTATGGAGCAATATGCCTTGAAAATAAAATGTACAACCCAACAAATGGATTGAAACAGGAGTCAATGTTTGTGACAGAACTGCAATGAATAGGACTGAATGAAATGGGATTTATGGAAACAGGAGCAATTTGTGAAGAAAAGAATGAAAATAAAATGCCTTTGAAAATAAATGTACAACCCAACAAATGGATTGAAACAGGAGTCAATGTTTGTGACAGAACTGCAATGAATAGGACTGAATGAAATGGGATTTATGGAGCAATATGCCTTGAAAATAAAATGTACAACCCAACAAATGGATTGAAACAGGAAACAATGTTTGTGACAGAACTGCAATGAATAGGACTGAATGAAATGGGATTTTTGGAGCAATATGCCTTGAAAATAAATGTACAACCCAACAAATGGATTGAAACAGGAGTCAATGTTTGTGACAGAACTGCAAATGAATAGGACTGAATGAAATGGGATTTATGGAAGCAATATGCCTTGAAAATAAATGTACAACCCAACAAATGGATTGAAACAGGAGTCAATGTTTGTGACAGAACTGCAAATGAATAGGACTGAATGAAATGGGATTTATGGACAATATGCCTTGAAAATAAATGTACAACCCAACAAATGGATTTTTGAAACAGGAGGACAATGTTTGTATGCCTTGAAAATAAATGACAGAACTGCAATGAATAGGACTGAATGAAATGGGATTTATGGAGCAATATGCCTTGAAAATAAATGTACAACCCAACAAATGGATTGAAACAGGAGTCAATGTTTGTGACAGAAGTGCAATGAATAGGACTGAATGAAATGGGATTTATGGAGCAATATGCCTTGAAAATAAATGTACAACCCAACAAATGGATTGAAACAGAGTCAATGTTTGTGACAGAACTGCAATGAATAGGACTGAATGAAATGGGATTTATGGAGCAATATGCCTTGAAATAAAATGTACAACCCAACAAATGGATTGAAACAGGAGTCAATGTTTGTGACAGAAGTGCAATGAATAGGACTGAATGAAATGGGATTTATGGAGCAATATGCCTTGAAAATAAATGTACAACCCAACAAATGGATTGAAACAGGAGTCAATGTTTGTGACAGAACTGCAATGAATAGGACTGAATGAAATGGGATTTATGGAGCAATATGCCTTGAAAATAAATGTACAACCCAACAAATGGATTGAAACAACAAATGTTTGTGAAACAATGAATAGACTGAATTGTTTAAATGTACAACCCACAGAACTGCAATGAATAGGACTGAATGAAATGGGATTTATGGAGCAATATGCCTTGAAAATAAATGTACAACCCAACAAATGGATTGAAACAGGAGTCAATGTTTGTGACAGAACTGCAATGAATAGGACTGAATGAAATGGGATTTATGGAGCAATATGCCTTGAAAATAAATGTACAACCCAACAAATGGATTGAAACAGGAGTCAATGTTTGTGACAGAACTGCAATGAATAGGACTGAATGAAATGGGATTTATGGAGCAATATGCCTTGAAAATAAATGTACAACCCAACAAATGGATTGAAACAGGAGTCAATGTTTGTGACAGAACTGCAATGAATAGGACTGAATGAAATGGGATTTATGGAGCAATATGCCTTGAAAATAAATGTACAACCCAACAAATGGATTGAAACAGGAGTCAATGTTTGTGACAGAACTGCAATGAATAGGACTGAATGAAATGGGATTTATGGAGCAATATGCCTTGAAAATAAAATGTACAACCCAACAAATGGATTGAAACAGGAGTCAATGTTTGTGACAGAACTGCAATGAATGAATAGAAATGGATTTATGGAGCTATGCCTTGAAAATTTATGGATTGAAACAGGAGTCAATATGCAATGAAAATAAAATGTACAACCTTGAAAATAAATGTACAAATGGATTGAAACAGGAGTCAATGTTTTATGACAGAACAGCAATGAATAGGACTGAATGAAATGGGATTTATGGAGCACAATATGCCTTGAAAAATAAATGTACAACCCAACAAATGGATTGAAACAGGAGTCAATGTTTGTGACAGAACTGCAATGAATAGGACTGAATGAAATGGGATTTATGGAGCAAATATGCCTTGAAAATAAATGTACAACCCAACAAATGGATTGAAACAGGAGTCAATGTTTGTGACAGAAGTGCAATGAATAGGACTGAATGAAATGGGATTTATGGAGCAATATGCCTTGAAAATAAATGTACAACCCAACAAATGGATTGAAACAGGAGTCAATGTTTGTGACAGAACTGCAATGAATAGGACTGAATGAAATGGGATTTATGGAGCAATATGCCTTGAAAATAAATGTACAACCCAACAAATGGATTGAAACAGGAGTCAATGTTTGTGACAGAACTGCAATGAATAGGACTGAATGAAATGGGATTTATGGAGCACAATATGCCTTGAAAATAAATGTACAACCCAACAAATGGATTGAAACAGGAGTCAATGTTTGTGACAGAACTGCAATGAATAGGACTGAATGAAATGGGATTTATGGAGCACAATATGCCTTGAAAATAAATGTACAACCCAACAAATGGATTGAAACAGGAGTCAATGTTTGTGACAGAACTGCAAATGAATAGGGATTGAAACAGAAATGGGATTTATGGAGCACAATATGCCTTGAAAATAAATGTACAACCCAACAAATGGATTGAAACAGGAGTCAATGTTTGTGACAGAACTGCAATGAATAGGACTGAATGAAATGGGATTTATGGAGCAATATGCCTTGAAAATAAATGTACAACCCAACAAATGGATTGAAACAGGAGTCAATGTTTGTGACAGAACTGCAATGAATAGGACTGAATGAAATGGGATTTATGGAGCAATATGCCTTGAAAATAAATGTACAACCCAACAAATGGATTGAAACAGGAGTCAATGTTTGTGACAGAACTGCAATGAATAGGACTGAATGAAATGGGATTTATGGAGCAATATGCCTTGAAAATAAATGTACAACCCAACAAATGGATTGAAACAGAGTCAATGTTTGTGACAGAA